AGTTCAGCTACTCATCATCTCATGGAGTTTCTTAGGTAAAAAGCTTCTGCTTTTGGTAAGGATTTTTTTTTTTTGATTGCCAAAAATCTGACCTTTCATTTCTAGGCACAGAATTAAAAACTTATTCATCACTCTTTTTTTTTCTAGTTTTTGAAGGAGTAGAATTCCTCTTTTCCATTTTTTCTTTGATTTTTCTGGCTTCTAGGAACAGGGTTAGTGATTGCTTCTGTGCATATCTGAAGATAATAGCTTTGCTAAATAATTTTCCTTCTTTTAAAATATATATGAAGATTGTCTGCTCCACAGTTTACATTTCCTGCTGTGGAGTGGAGACAAATACTTTAATTAAAATGGAAGAGAGAGAAAAAAAAATAAAATAAAAATCACACAGAAATAGAAAAAGTCTCTGTGAAAAGAAGCCTAAAAGGCTTGAGAGAAGTAGAAATGGGCAGATGAAGCCCTTTGGCAGCCAAGATGCATTCTGCATGAATGAGTGTGTATATACACGCAGGCTCTTGGGACTGTTGTGCTTAATTCAAGGAGGGAGGTGCCAGTGAAAGCCTCAGCTGCATCAAGAAACCCAGTTGTGTTTCTGTCAAGCAATGAGACAACTTTTCTCAATCTGCTTGTCCTCCACCTCCTGTTCCAGTCTGTGTCCTGGAGAGATGCAACGTCTTGGTCTCAGATGACCATGTCTTGAGAATAAGAAGGAAATGGGATCTTCTACCTACCTTGGCTCTGCTTCTTTCCTTCACTTTAAGAGTAAAATGTTAAATTAACCCCCAGTGGTTGCTATATCTGATTATGGGACTCCTTGTACCTCCCTTGGTTTGAGGTTGCCCCTGGGGAAAGCACAGCAGCAGAAAATAGCAAGAAACTCTTACATGTGCCAGGCTGATATTAAGTCCAGGGGCAGATGAGAGGGATGGGAAGTTGCAAGTACAAAATTGCTGTTCTGAAACACAGCCCTGAGTTTCAGAGGGCAATGGTGCTCCACCTGGGTAGCAGTGAGCGGGAGGATCTGGTTGGATGGATGAATCAGCCTTGCAAAGGGCTTTTTCCAGGTCAGGGTGTATGGGGGAGAGGGTGGCTTGAGAGTATCACAAAGCACTTCCCCCTGCTGAGCTGGGGTTTGTGTGTAGCTCATTGAGGATAATTAGATGATCACCATCAGGTGGGTAAGCTGAGCTCTCACTTTCTGCCCCATCCCTATGAGAGGAGCATATTATTCCTGTTTTTCACCAGCCTGAACCAGCAATTGTCTCTTTGAGCTGTGATGCTGTCCCTGTATAATTAAGGCTGTCAGTCAAACTCAGACCCCTAAACACTACAAACTCCATGGCTTACAAGAATTGATCACAGGACTTTATTGCTTGGCAGTCAAAGCAGCACTTTGCAGGCTCTCTTTTCCCTTGTTGGAGGAACAAATTGTGGAACTGTGGGAAGGAACTATCCATGGGAGAGAGGTAAGGTGCCTCCAGTGCTTTTTGGATATAGGTCCTGTGCAGGTGGTGGGATGAGCTGCACTGATCCTGGTCACTGTTTCTGGTTCAGAGCCTGCTTCTGGGGTGGACCTGCCTATGCTGGCAGGGAGTTCAAGTGCTTATCTCCTGCCTCGACTGGCCCGAGCACCAATGTGGTGCCTCTGCAGCAAGGGCAAGTGAGGAATAACTGATTTCAAAAGTGTCAATATTTGCAAACAGCGAAGCGAGGCCCACATCGTGTGTGCGTGGGGCTATGGGAGGCTAGAGCAGGGTTAATGTGCTTCTGTGATACACAAATCAAATCATTCTGTGTGTGGGGGAGGTCCAGCAGTCACCCTCTGATAAATGCTGCTGTGACCTTTGCAGGATTAGGGGCCAGAGATGGGTGTTTACCTGTGTTGTGTGTTTGTGTGTAGCAGCCCAGAAGTAATCAGCTGATGAAAGCCTCTGTGCAGTGTGTGTAGGAGGTTGGGGAGAGACCCACTGCTAACAGTGCCTGGAGGAACAAATGTAACTGCTTGTGATCTCCCTCTAAGAGTGAAATAAACCCTTTTTCTAACTGCATACCATCCCTGAAAGGCTGGTTGGTTGTCACAGAAAAAAATCACTACTGCTGAATGACCAAGATGTGACCTCTGTCATTTTTGTTAGATGGGTGCAACTGATGGAGGACTTTTTCCCTTCTGCATCCGCAATCCCACATTCATCTGTGTGGAGCAGGGCACTCGGGGTGAGCTGAGCTCATGCTCTGAATCAGCACAGTGCCTTGCTGAAGAGTGAAGAGCTGCTTAGACATGCTGTTGTCCACATTACTGAACTGCTTTTGGCTAATCTTTTCTCTGACATGAACCTCTTGATTTCAACCTGGGAAGCAGCCCTGGTCAGGACTGGAGGATTTCTCCTGCATGTGCATTTCTTCTTATTGCTGTCCTCAGCAAAAGCTTTTGTCCTCTGGGCATGTACCCAAGCACCACGGTGTGGCTTGTGGTGGCATCCTGTCTGTGGGATAATGGATCACTTCCTGCAACAGGGGCTTTTTGAAGGCCCTCAAAGTCCCCTGTGACATCCCGAGGAGCAGCAGCTGACAGCTATGAAGAGGAAGGAGTGAGGGAGCCCATGCTGTCGATGTGGGAACCCACAGCTCACCCCAGAAATAGGCACAGCCAGGAGGGCTGAGGGTGCGGGGAAGGGGAGACAGGCTTTGGGGCCAGCCCAGACCCATGGGGAGAGTGTTGAGGGGCCGAGGGCTTCACACACTCAGGGAGATCGTGGTCAATCCTCTCCCCTTTCTGCACTGTTACTGTCTGGAGTGAGTGTCCTTAGCTGCAGGGGAGGAGGACTCTGCGTTTATAGGGTTCATGAGGAGAAGGCCCCATATAATTTTGTCTGGCAAGGGGCTAACTCAGATACAGCCACTTGGAGGCTCAAGATTCTGATACAGTGTCTGTTAGGCTGCAGGTCTGATGACTGCAGGGGCTTGGGAGATGCTGTCAGGGGAGAGAGGTCCTGTGAGCTGTGCAGTGGGGTGATCTTGGCTGTAGTGCTGTGGATATGGGGTCAAAAAGAGCATGGCACTCCATCAATATCTCTTCCTTCCTCACCTTTCTTATCTGGGCCACCCTTGGTACATCCTCAACCCCACACACCACTAGGGTTAGGGTTAGGGTTAGGGTTCAGGGAACAACAAAGCCTACAGCTCCAGGGGAGGTCCTGTGAGCTGTGCAGTGGGGTGATTTTGGCTGTAGTGCTGTGGATATGGGGTCAAAAAGAGCATGGCACTCCATCAATATCTCTTCCTTCCTCACCTTTCTTATCTGGGCCACCCTTGGTACATCCTCGACCCCACACACCATTAGGGTTAGGGTTAGGGTTCAGAGATCCACCAAGCCTACAGCTCCAGGGACACAGGCGCTGGAAAAGGCATGCCAAGGGCAGCACAGCACTCCTCCAACCTTGCTCCTTCCACACTTTTCTCATCATGCCCTCTCATCATGGTCAATCCTCTCCCCTCTCTGCACTGTCACCGTGTCATTTTACAGATTGATATGAGTGATTTCTGGAGTGAGTGTCCTTAGCTGCTGGGGAAGAGGACGCAGCGTTTATGGGGTTCATCAGTAGAAGGCCCCGTTTAATTTTGTCTGGCAAGGGTCTAACTCAGATACAGCCACTTGGAGGCTCCAGACTCTGAAACAGGTTCTGTTCGGCTGCAGGTCTGATGGCTGCAGAGGCTTGGAAGATGCTGTCAGGGGAGAGAGGTCCTGTGAGCTGTGCAGTGGGGTGATCTCAGCTGTAGTGCTGTGACCATGTGGTTGTTGTGCCTGTCAGCCTCTCCATTGCCTTCTGCAGGGCTGTGCGTGCAGAACCTGTACTGCCCTGTGATGAATTCATGTGAAAGTCGTGTTGAGTAAGTTACCTTTTCTTCTTGCCTTTTCTGACCTCAGTGCCACTGTGGTCTGGGGCAGTGGTGGGGGATAATTCATTATTGTGGAAAGAAGAGGCAACCAGCCTGCCAGGATAAAACCTGGGTGAGAAACAACTCGCTCAATAATGTGAATCCTTGGGACTTAGAGGACCGTTGTTCTGCCTGGCAGTGATTTGAGAGCAGGACAGGTGGAAAAGCAGCAGCTGAAGCAGCCTTGGTGAGCCTGAAGATGCCTTAGCTGGACTGCAGCAGAGATTCCCTGGTGCTGATGGTCACTGACAGGGTGCCTTGTGGACATCCCACAGTGCTATTCACTGTCTGCCTCTGTCTGGAGAAAGGAATGACCTGAGACCAATGATTATCTAAAACTCATGCTGTTCAAGTCCTGAACAGCTTGACCTCACTTTGGCGTTAGCTCTCCAGAGATCTGTTTCCACCTAAATTCATTTGTGTAATGGAGCCCTTTATGTGCTTTTTGGGTGTGGGGGCTGCTGTTCATGGGACAGAAGTGGCCAGGAGCTGGGAGACAGGATGACAAGGTCAGGCGTTCAACATGCTAGCCCTCCTGAACTATCACTGATTCTCAGGCCACAATCTGAGAGCCTTTAGGAAAGGTTAGTAGGAAATGAAACTTGTTTCTTTTACAAGAAGCATCTTGGTGCTTACCAGAGACACTTTGTATGGAGAAAGCCTTGTCTTGGAAGGTTTGTTAGCCATGTCTCATTTGTTTGGGGAATTTTCTTGAGAGATGAATCAGTGTCTCAGTGGTTGCTGATGGGTAGACACTGGCAAACTGGGGTTTATGTGCAGATACACAGGAAAGGAAATAGAGTTAAGTTCAGCTAACTGTTGCACAATGGCATCTTGACACCGTTACAAGTGAGTCAACAGACCACCAGAATGATGCAATACAGATGTGTGCATAAAATGTCCTCTGAAGGACAACCAGAAAGGAAAAGATGCACTGTTGAAGTGATCAGTGCTCAGTGAGGCTTTGTCTTGGGTGTCATGAGCTTTGTTATGAAATGAATGAATAAATTAAATTTGAAACATAACTGGAATTCTGCCCCTCTCTCCTCTTGTGGATAAACAATGAAAGGATGAATAAGTGTTCCCCAAACAGGTACAGAAAGAGGAATGACCAAAAAGGGAGAGGAACTGGGGGGCCAGAACTGGAGGGAAATGAGATTTTGCTGTCACTGCTGCTCAGAAGGTGGGTTATAAACAGCAGTAAGGACTGTATTTAAAAGATATGGGTCATTTCTGGAAAGTACTTCAAGAAAGCTCAGTAGCTTTTCAGAGTTCTTCATTATGCAGTCTGCTTCAGCTGCACTAGTCCTTGTGTCTGATGCTGCTGTGACTGTTCCACTCAACCCTAAACTCCTGCTTCTCTGAATCTCTCTTGTTAAATTTGAATCTCACTGAAAGCCTTTTCTGACCAGCAAAACCTTATACTTGCTCATGGACAGACCTTTTAGAAGAGAACTTGAAAAAATTCTGTGGTTCCATGAACTGTCTTTCAGGCTGCAGAGCTGAGGTATTGCAATGCTCTTCTCCTGGCATTGTTGTGTCTTGGATGGACACTGTACACTGGAGACCCTCCCTGTTCTGGGGCAACCTTGAGTGCTGCAGAGGAGATGGAAATACAGCTGGGCACCAGGGGAAATCTGGACTGTGTGGTTGACATGCCTTTGAGAAAAGCCGTGCTGGTGATGATGGAGGAAGGCAGCAGTGCTTTAACTCCAGGCTCTAGCTGTGCCAGGAGTGATGGGAAGGGGAAGGCTGACAGCAGTGTTCTTGTGGAAGGAGCAGGTGCCATTGTGGAAGTTATCAGATGCCAAGAGAGAGAAGATACTGAGTGGATCAGTGCCTTTTGCCTTTTTCAGTCTTGAAGTTCACTCTCTTAGTGGTCTACTTCACAGCCCACTCTGCCTCTGACTCCTCTCACTGTTCATCTCCTCTCTCAGTAGGTTTCTCTTTCTCTCCCTTTTAAATGTGTCCTTTCAAGCAGCTCTAGTACTGATGAACTTAAGCTGCTAGATCCCAGCTCCTTCCCTTTAATTTCTGCCATACCCTGATCTCTGTTCTCAGTATTGTCCTATCCCATATTTAATATTGCTCTAACCCCATCCCAAGTGTGACAGTCAGGGCTTGGAAAGTTGATTGCTTCCCTCAGTTCTTCCTGCTCACATTCAGGGAAAGCAGAAGTGAAGTAGACTGTGGCAGCTGTTGGCAAACACTTTCATTTGGGCCCTTCTTCTTTCCTCTAATTCATTTGAGGAATTATTCTGTGGCCTCTCATTCTTCCTCTCTACAATACACTGCATGCCTTAAGCAGAGGTTCACCCTACTAGTTATTGATCTGACAGGTATCCATACTTGAATTTTTCTCCATTTCTTTACTGTCTTGTGTCCTCTGGCTAACTAGAGATCCCTCACAACTTTACTAGTATGCTGATGGCACTGCATTGCTTCATGGTCACTAAGTTAAGACCCATGTGTCTAGGATACAGCTAGAGTCACACTAGGCAGGGCTTTTCTCCTCTGATGCCACCCTGGGAGTTACCTGGGAACATCAAAAAGGCCTTCAGAGGATGCTGATCAAACCTGGTGGAGACAGAGAAGGACTTAATCTCTTGCAGTCTATTCTTTTGCTGGCTTATGGTGCCAACTTATTTGTAGTGACATATTCAATAGCTCTAGTAATCATGTATCTTTCAAATATTTAATGAGCTGCATAATGCACCTGAGACCTTATTTTTTCACTAATTAGAAAGACCTCAGTCTCAGCCATGTTGGAGACAGGTGTATGGGAATGAATGGAAAAGACCAGAAGATCCTTTGTTCGTCTAAACTCTTCTGAGTCTTTCTGAGCACCCAGCCAGAGCAGCAGACTCAGGAATCCCCATCATGGCACTGCCTGGTGTGCGTGGGCATGCCTTACGTGTGTCTCTGCATTTCTTCTGCAGATGAAGGTGAGGTTTTGGCAGCAACACCCCAGAAGTGGAAAGGGAATGTCTCTCAGCTACGTATTCTCAACCCATATGTCACCTATGAAGTGACATGCAAACTGCTGCAGCTGAAGATGTCAAGTTGGGTATGATACCATGCTGGAGAGCTGACAGATGAGCCTCAGTGTTCTCTTTCCTTACACCTTACTGCTTCAGTGCCATGCAAGGGAAAAGAAAACCTTTTCATTAGATTAGCTAGTCCCTTTCCCCAGTAAATGCAGCCTGGTGCTTCATGTTTGGAGTCCTTCTCCTACCCAGAAAAGGAAGATGACTTTTCCTCACCTGTCACAGCACTGCAGTGCTACTCTTATTCCAGTGTGCCCCATCACCCCTTGCTATTTTGCATTTAAATCACTTTTTAGAGTTATATTTCTGTCCATAGTTCTAGACCTCAGAAAACCTGGTTCTCTAGTGATGAGCAGCTGTGTTGTATAAGATCTTTCATCCATGTTCCTGTGCTTTTCCTGACTGAAGACCATTACTGATAATTAGCTAGTATAAAATGGGAATTTTGGATGGTATTCCTTGAAACCCTCCATTCTCCCAGGTCTCTGGCCTGAGGCTGGTTGTTATGCCCACTGCTTCTGGAGCATAGCTTTCCCCTTCACTGTATGATGGAGGATTATTTCATTAATGAATCTAATGATACTTTGTCTTTGGTCCTGACAATCTTTGTGATGGTACTGTGCAATTTTTAATTAACTTTAAGCCTGCCAGGCACTACTAGGATGTTTATAATCTGCAACAAATGCAGGAGAAGCTTGAAGGCCTGAGTGTGGTAAAATAACCTTGTCCAAGGTCACTCACTGACTCTTGGCTGCAGTTGAGATTAGATGGTCCATCCCT